AGATTACAAAAAAAAAACGCTTCTCCTTTTGTGACGAAATGCATTGCCATCAGAAGATGGTTCTAAAACCATCCCTTCTTGAGCTCAATAGTTGCAATGCCTTACAAGCTCGTAATGGACGCCCTGATACTACAACATTCCTGTTGAGTAACAGACTGTTCTTAAATTTTTAAGGTTACCCTTCGAGAAAATACAATTTTATGAAAACAGGTCACAATGAACCTGGTCGGGAAATGGCACCAAATTAACAAACAAATTCCTCTCCAACTCCAACTCTGGAAAGTTGGAATGAACCCTTTCTTTTTTACTGGGATGGGACACTGACTCTTGACTAGTCAACTGACAACTTTTTTTTTTAAATAGCCAACACCAATGATTTCTTGACACGTGTTCATCTTGACACTTGTCAGAATATAACACCCTCAAAAAACAAGACCTAAAACGAAAGGGCAAAGGGGAAAATCAGCCGCTATACTCTTTATTTGGTGGCGTATCAGCCCTTTAACTAAAAATAAAAGCTTTTAAACACCCAAACTTTTCGAATGGTTGCAAATCACCCTAAAGGTGTAGGTCTTTGAATTTTTCTTCAAATTCGAAGGGACAATTTAGGTAACTCACTTCAAAAACTTGGAAGAAATTTTGAAGAAAAAATAATCAAGGGTTTTACTTTCTTTCTTTGGTTGTTATTCCGCTTAACTTGGATTTTTCCACTCTACTCTAATTCTTTTATTCTAAATAGACTTTTTTTTGTATTCCATCGATTTAATAGCAAATCATTGGGCAATGATCAATGAATTTTGACCACACTCATTATGAGCTTATGGAAGGGATGGAGGCAAGAGAACCGGTGATAAGAGAGTTTTAAGTAAAATATTCTCACAAAACTTTTAGTTTTGTTTCAAGTTTTTGAAACATTTTGTGTAATTTTCAGTTGAGAAAAGTGTTTTTATAAAATGAATTGATTTTTTTTATAATTTGAATACTAAAATTCTGAAAAATATTATTAATCTATAAACATGAAGGGCAACTTTATTAAAAGTTTTTTAATAATTTTAGTAATCAAAATGTATAAAAAAAGAGTACAATTTGCACTAAAAAGTTTTCTTATTTTAATTTTGATTTTTTATTTCATCATTTTCATTTTAAAATTTTCCTTTCAAATTCTGTATAGTAATTCTAGATATGATTTTCTATAACTTTTTATTGTCCTTTCCTGTGACAACTAACAAGGAAAGAAATGTTGTTCCGCGAATATTTTTTTTCATCATCACGTCATGTTATTGTTGTATTTCGGTTACAAAATTAAATAATATAATAATTAGTAAACTTATCAAAAAAATCTTAATGAGATGAATTTATATATATGTTAATGTGAAATTGTTGCCTTGATATTGTTGATATTTGGATGAGTTTTATGAGATTTTACTTGATTTTACATAATTTTTATTTTTTGTGTAGGAAAAGACTTAATTAAAAGAAATCATAATTTATAGGATAAATTGCAGATTTAAAAATTTAAAAATCAACTTGTGCAGAATCTAGAAGTCAGGGACCAGAACTGTAATTTTACCATTACAGAAATTGCTAAGAAGGCCAAAAACCCGACACGATGATGGCATTGTGCGCTGAACAGAGAGTGTCGGCACCTCGTTGAAGGGGTTGATGCCTTACGCAATTTTCACAAAATCTGTGTTTAATTGGTTATTATGGGTGTGGGTCTCATTCCTATTCCAATTAGGAATTTTAAAATTTTATAAATATTTATCCAAATTTAAAATTAAGGAGAGCTTTAGGAGGTTGGTGATGGCCCTCTTTTTGGCATTATTGAAGATCAAAATAGTAGTTTCATTAATAATAAAAAATCAAAATGTCTAATTATCTCAAATTGAGTTTTGTTTTTTCTTAGATTCTTTTTATTTATTATTTGATATTCGAATATTCATAATTATGATTTCAAGTTTTATTATTTTTATTATGAACTAATTTAGTCAACTAGGGTTAAAATGTAGCCTAATCAATTCAATATATGTTTTTATGATTTTTATATTTTTGAGATTACTATTTCATTATGAGTATATATTATTGTTTTTAATACTTTTTAATGCTTGATCACCATTAAAATTGATTTGGAGAGCATAATTGAGATTGAGAGAAAATTTTATTCAATAGTTTCTAATAATATATACCATGAATTGAACAAAAACCAGAGATGGATCAACGTGATTCGTGTAGTATTAATGATAAGTATACTTAATTTTCTACGTAAACTAGAAAATTTCGCATAATATAATGCATTTTTATTTATTTAAATTTACATAGAGATATAGTAAGTTAATAGACTAAAATAGATTTGGTATAATTTGAGAAAATATATCGAATAAAATATGAAATCTCGTTGTCATATGAATAGTAATATCTTAAAAATATAATAATTGAAAATCCATATTAATTGATTATGGTGAAGTCGATGTCTTAGTAACTCATATCTTAATTAATTTTATTTTAATTATTATTTTTTTATTAATTTTAATTAAAGTTTCTTTCTTCTCAATTGTTCAAATAAATTTAGATTAATTATTTTTGTAATTAATTAATCATAATCCTTGTAGGTTCGACACTCTACTTATCATTATATTATTTAAAGCGATTAGTACACTTGTTAAGGTAATTTTAGCACATCAAATATCAATAAAAAATTATTATCAAAATAAGCATAAAAAAATTACCTACTTTAAAGTTAAGCTTTTCACGCTTCTACAGAGTAAATCAACCAGTGTAGCAAAAATGTACATAGAATGTCGTCCCCAAGATACTACAGTTTTATAATAATAATTTATAAATCTATACTACTCCTAAAGTTATCTAATTCAAAACATCATTCTTTCCTCAAAAATATTTAAAGGAAAAAGTAAGGAAGAAAAATAGAAGAATGTGGAGAAATTTCTCCATTATTGACCAAAATGACATGTCTTATTTATAAAATTCATAATCATGTAATTTCTATTTATAGATTAATGATAGAAATAAATTGAATAATTATTATGTAATAATATATCCTTAAATAAGACAATTAACATATAACAATTAATTTAATTAAGTTCTTGTTGGAGATTTTAATTTTTAAAAAAAATTGCAAACCGTTTTGCAACTCGTTACAAATCCACTGCTTTCAAAAAACTTAAATCTATCAAGTAACTCATAAGTTACAAGCTTATATTTTAATGAAGGAATCAAATGGTAACAGCCATGCGTTTTGTCTTATTGAAAGGGCTATGCGTTTTTGCTTTTTAATGTTTTAAAGCAATAAACTTCAGTTACATTTGGGAAAGCCTATAAATAGGCAGCTTCCGTTTCTACCAAAAGGTTGGATACAATTTTATGATCTGCACTCTTATTTCACAAACACAATATACAAACTCTCTTTAGGCAAGGAAAAAGTGATGGGATAGAGCTTACTTTACAAGAGTGCAGTACTTGTAAAGATACAACAAGGAAGTTGGGCTGTTATATCTTGGGGGTGGCGTGACCATAAAAATCTGCTGCACCAGTGACACGAAATGTCTTAAAAAAAGTGATTGATCCATGTTTCAGTTCAAACTCCTCATACTTTCGGTGATATCTTTTTACTTTTTATTTTCATCTTTAATTAATTGTTTTTTGCTATTCTTTTATCTATTTTCTTTTTGTTTATTTTTTACGAGGAATAACAGTTCTTGATGGAATAATAAATTTAATTTATAAAATATATTATTTTATTTTTTATTAAAATATTTAAGTTAGAAAAAAAAAAAAAAACAATTTCAATGTTGCAAAAAATTTGCTTGAACATGGAAGGCAAGTCCGTCAGTAAGTGAATGAGGAAAAAAATATCCTCTGAACATATAAGGGCATTTCGAAATAATTTTAGACAATTTCAATGGTTTGCAACGAAGTGTGGCATCTAAGCCTAGTGGCTCCGCAAAAAGAAAAGAAATTGACAACCTCAACGCAGGTCAGTTGTAGTCTAACTAAAATCAACCGAAAATAATTTTAAAATAATTTTTTTATATTATCTTTTATTATAATCTTAAGTATCAGTTAAATAATTAATTTTTTATTTATTTAAAATTTATAATATTAAATATATCTATTTTTTAAATAATATATAAAAATTATATTAAAAATTATATTAAAAAATTGTCCTGCTGTCCAAAATCAATCCTTTGTTTGAGTTAACCGGATTTTGCTCACGCCATTTGTCAGATAAGGGGTGATTTGCAACCATTCCAAGAGTTTGAGGGTTTAAAAGCTTCCGTTTTCGGCTGAAGGATTGATATGCCACCCAACGTAGAGTACAGGGGCTGATTTTGCTTTTTTGCCTAGAAAACGGAATACCCATGGAAGTTCCCAAAGAGGCGTCCGCCGTCGCCTCTGACCCATCGCATAAAGCCACTGCCTTTTTATGGCTTCTCATCTTCCCCAAAAGTTCTTTCTTCAATTCTCATCTCCATATCTCCCTCTCTTAGTGAGCAGCTACAAACTTGCATCCCTCTGTTTAGCTTCTCATACAACATCCAAATGGCTGCCCTTGCGCACAAGCTTTCCCTCTCCTATCACAAATCTTCACCCCATTTGCACAAACCCAAGTTTTTACTCATTTGCTCCATAGGTTACAATTCATCTCCTTCTTCCCCATTTACGGAGAAGCACTCCGTAGAGAGGTACCGGAGAGACCAGTGGCTCTACAAGAACCAACAACCTGACCATTCCCATGTCTTCTCCTGCTCTACCCCTCCTGACCCTGATTTTATAAGGGAAAATGACATTGCTTTGCAGCTTCCTGAGCTAAATAGGTTGCTACAGGTGTTGAGGGAGAAGAGGCAGGGTTGTGAGGATGGTGGTGATGGGGGCAAGTGTGGGCCGGGGAATGTGTTTTTGGTGGGGACAGGGCCAGGGGATCCGGATTTGTTGACATTGAAAGCACTTAAAGTTATTCAGAAAGCTGATCTTTTATTGTATGATCGGTTGGTGTCTAATGATGTGTTGGATTTGGTTGGTCCTGATGCTAGGCTTCTCTATGTTGGTAAAACTGCTGGATATCACAGCAGAACCCAGGTAAATAATGTACATTTGTTTTTTTTTATTTTTCTGTGAAGTTCCTGAAGTTTATATGAATTGGGGTTTAAACGTTTCGCTTCATGTTACTGCCGTTTTTGTTTACTTGAATTTCATGTTCTTGTGAATTGGATAATTGATTTTCCCTTGATTTTTCAAATGGGACTCTGCGTTGAAGCCAATTTTATTAGTAAATGTAATGTATTTTAGGGTGGTTTAAAAACTAGATTTTGAGTTTTCAACTTTCTGGTTGAGTTTTAGATGAACTTATGATATGTTTGCACCAATGGGTTTAGGAAAATGAATCACTCTTTTTGCGGTATTATTTTGCAGGAGGAGATACATGAATTGCTTTTGAGTTTTGCTGAAGCTGGAGCTACGGTAGTTAGACTCAAAGGAGGGGATCCTCTGGTGAGTGTTCATTCTGAAGAGTTAGAAATGTATTATGTATTGGAGTGTGCTTCTTGTTGCAGCTTTTATGAATCATACTTTGGGCTATTTTAGGTGTTTGGAAGGGGTGGAGAAGAAATGGACTTTTTGCAACAACAAGGGATTCAAGTGAAGGTTATCCCAGGTATTTGATAGTGTAGACTAATCTTCTCCTAAAAAAATTATTGAGAATTTAGGAAGCACAAATTTAATTTTATCTTGCACATTGAATGGCTGGGGAACACATTTCAATGTTATAAGTCATCTGCACAATACAGTGGCTAAGGCAAGTAGTTAAGAGGGTTCTGCTTATTGGTGTTGATAGTAGCAGCCTTTGGAGCTGCTTTCTATTTAGTTTAAATCAATGAAGCTTTACATTTTATCTCCAAAAAAATTTTTTTTTTTGGGGGGGAGGGGGTGGGGGTGGTAGGTCGGCTTGAGAAAGTAGATGCTGGCATTTACCTTTGAAATGTGTTTCAAATTTCACTTCCTTGACTTCTGTTAGTTTTTCTACTCTTATGTTGTAGGTACTAGCTTTACCATGCACACACCTGTTTGATATCTGCTGACTTGATTGTTTACTCAAAAAGATAGTCTCACAACAATGCTCATTACTTTGCAGGTATCACAGCTGCTTCAGGGATAGCAGCAGAGCTTGGGGTTCCATTAACTCACAGGGGTGTGGCAAATAGTGTTAGATTTCTAACTGGTCACTCAAGAAAAGGAGGAACAGATCCTTTGTTCATTGCAGAAAATGCTGCAGATCCTGATTCAACCTTAGTGGTTTATATGGGCTTATCAACACTCCCTTCACTTGCACTAAAGTTGATGCATCATGGTCTATCACCAGTAACACCTGCTGTTGCAGTTCAGCAAGGAACCACACCCCAGCAACGCATTGTAAGTATTCATTATATACATCGTTTTCAATTAGGCGACAATGCTTTAACCAAGTTCACTTAATTATATTCTTTTCATAACTTCAGGAGGTGCATTAGTTTTTGGAACTCATCATTTTTTTTTTCTTTTTTTGGCTTTTATGTAGGTCTTCTCAGAACTAAAAGATCTTGCTGATAAAATCTCAGTTGCAGGGTTGGTATCACCAACACTAATTATCATTGGGAATGTTGTTGCACTTTCACCATTGTGGCCACATTCTCTGAAGGATGCATCATCTATGGTTGAGGCAAAATAAACACTGTCAAAACTGACAGACAAAAAGGTAATTTTGATATCCAAGATCATCTCTTTTTGTTTTTTTACTTTTTTTGAAATTACATTGGTGGTGGGGGGATTCGAACCCCAGCCCAAGAACTTTCAATGTGGCTTACAACCATCGGGTCACAAGTCCCAAGTGCATCCAAGATCATCTGTTTTGAACTTTTGATTAGTGTAATTCTTGATAGCAAAGATTAAGTGGTAAAGTTCCGTTGCCTCTTATGCTTTGTTCAGAATTGATACATTTTAGTCTAAAGGTATTTGATGTGACTAGTCCACTATTTCACTATTTGGGGTTCACAAAGTTTGACATGCCCATTCATAAAGCCCAAACTGGAAATAAGAAAAATGGAAGAAGTTAATAAGGTGACCGATGAATGGTGATGAATGTTTTCAATTCTCCAGGGAAATGATAAACTAAAGGCAGTTGGATACTACCATTGGAGCACCCTCAGATTTTGATTTGCTTTTGTGCTTGGCTGAAGATGAGTGCTCTTTCTCAGAGGTAACTCGTGCTGCATCATTCATCAGAGACCTTTGAAAATAACTGTAAACAGCTGAAAGGAAAAGGCATTGCTGGTGAATTTGTTGTCAACTAATTTAAGGAAAAGCAGAGGCCAGATGGTTTGTAAATCTAAGGAAGTGGGAATGAAACAATGCTAGGGCGGATGATTTAGCATTTGAGATTGGTGCATTTTTAGTGACTGGAGAAAGGGGATTAGCTTGCAGACCAAGGAAATTAAACCAAGTTTCTTTTTTATTTTCTTCATTGTTTTCTTGCTTGAACTTGAGTCCTCTTAAGTAGCCTCTTTTTAGTACATTAGATTAGACACCGTCTGCAACAGAGAATTGCTGACCAATGCAACGAGTTTTTTGATTCATTCAAATCATTGAAGCCTGTTCAATTAAATGTGCAAGAGAAACAA